AAAAAAAAAAATAGGCACCCATTACAAACCTGGCTGTCAGCCTACTGACAGCCACACATCCGTGCCCCTGAGATGCTAGCACGGGTGTAGCAAAACTAAAGGGGTGGAGAGGGCCCAAAATATTTGGTGAATTCTTCTATCAGACGGTGCACACTTATTTTTCCCTATTTGGATGGACCATTTGGCATTGTTTACAGTGCATCAGAACACACTGAACTATGACTTATACCACATATAACGTTAAACTTCACCTATGAAATTTAACATACATACCGTCGGGTCAGGTAGCTATCACAAACTGTCACAGGCTGGGTGGCTTAAACAACAAGCCTGCTTCTCACAGTTCTGGAGGCTGAAAGTCGGAGACGGGTGCCACACGGCTGGTTCTGGTGAGGGCCTCTTTGCAGGTTGCACAAGGACAACTTCATTTTACCTCAAAGCAGAATGAAGGTGAACTAGTTCTCAGACCCCTTCGGTGACACAAGCCTTTAGTGCATAACACACACTGAGGAACCCCTAAAACATGTGCACCAACCAGATAAGGAATAGAGTATAAAGATCACTGAGGTTAAGAAAAAACATGGCCGGTACCTTCTGGAAACACAGGCAGCACCTTCCTTCAGTGACCCCCTGTGTCTCTCCGCAGGCGCATCTTCTCCGGGAGTGCCCTTGTTTGAGAGCACACAGCTAAACTGGGGTTCTAGTCCCAAGCCTGGAGCAACGCTGTCCTGCGGGGACCTGGCTGTGAGTGTTCACATCTAGCCTTGCACATGACATTTTGGCGGACTGCCTCGCGGGGGACCGGGAGGACCACACAGGGCTTGTTCACATCGGCAGACACCCCATGGATCTTGTTTGACCCAGGTCCTCAAGCGTTGCTCTGGCATTGGAAGCCAGACTTTGAGTTCTCACACTTTTGAGGGAAAATCATTGTGGGGCAGCCCCTGGTTCTTCAGGTGGAAGGCATAAATACAAACCAGCACCACATGTGGAATCAAGGTAGATTTTCACTTGCAGGTCCTGGGCAGTAGGGTGCAATAAGCAAGAGATCAACCTTCGATTCCCGGATCTCTTGTGCGCAGGCGTGAAGGAGGTTTGGGGGGACACAAGTAGCAGAAGCAGCGCAAAGAGATGTGTCTGACTTCCTGTCTCTGGCTATGTGGGCATGGTGCAGAACTGGAAATCATGTCCAAGGGCGACCTCGCCCTGATTCCGGTATGAGGAAGTTTATCTTTAATTCAAAATGGCACAGCAGAGAAAGAAAATTGTGTTTACAACATCCGTCTACTTTTATGATAATCTTGTCTTTGTTTTTTCTGTACAGTTGTCTTGACGTGTTTATATCTCTAAGCAAGGAATTTAATTTGGTTGCTTTTGACCTATCTCCAAGTGGATTCATTGTTCACCTCTCTGCTCCATAATCTTCCAGCATAAGAATCCAGGACTTTTGATGCACATTTGAGTAGTTTTCCTTTTGCAGGGAGCAGAGAGAGGTTTGTTTAGGTTTTTTTCTGCGTTTTGGTTTTTTTTTGCTTTGACAAACAGTGCTGTTATAAACAGCTTTGTGCCACCTGACCTTCTTCTAGATTAAGTCAGTGAATTTCTTCTGTAAAGAGCCACAAGCAGAGACCACTTTCTATTCCTGAAGCATAAAAGCAACCGCAGACTGTCACATATAAACAAATGAGCAAGACTATGTTCCAATAAAACTTTACTTAACAAAACAAAAACAAGAAGTGCCTGGATTAGCAGTGCAGTCCACAGTTTGCTGACTCCTAGCCAAGATGCCTTGCTCTGTCCAGGGCCATAGTGCTGTGGCACTACATAGTAAGCAGCCCTGTGTGGTGCATACACAGCCCAGCTGCTGACTCACAGGGCAGTTGTTCAGTTTTCCACGGTGATGCCAAACTCCTGTTATCCCAGCACTTGGCAAGCTGAAGCAGGAGGATTTCCCGTGAGTTCGAAGTCAGCCTGCACTACATAGTGAGTTCAAAGCTAGCCAAAACTACATAGCAAGACCCTGTCTCGGAAAAAAATATATATATATCAAGTATATATTACAATGTGTCTATACTTACTGTAATGTTACCTCAACCCTGAAGGTGTTCTTTTTAAATACAGCCCTATGATCATAGAAAAATTAAAACATATGAAATGTATTTGTCAAACTGTACATTTTAGTGACACACTATGATTGGTTGGACAATAAGATTTCACAGGATTGTCATGTTAAAACAATGTGAAATACTGCAGTGGGAGAGGAAATCCCAATTCAAGGAGAAAAATAATTTTAAAATTGCAATCTGTTAAGAACTTGTTGTTACCTAATAGACAATGGTGAATAATAAATGGTAATGGTTTTAAGATTTCAGCAGAGGTTGGAGGTAGGTCAGAGGTAGAGTGCTTGCCTAACATTCAGAATGCCCTGGGTTCAAGCTCCAGTATCACACAAAATAAAATCAAAACCCAAGAGTAGATAATTAGGTGCTGGGTTCGAAGCTCAATGGTACAGTACGTGTTCACCAAGCAAAAGGCCTGGGTTCAATCCCCAGCACCAAAACATAAACAGTAGCTTGCAGTGTTACTTTGAATATCAATAATTTCCAAAAAAGCAATTCAGGATGTTCCAGATGGGTCTTCCAGTAATGAGAACTGGCTTCCTTTATGAAGCAGGTGTTAAGTTTGTCAAATACTCAGGCCAGTTTTCTTTAGGAATCTGAGTACCTATAACACTCTGGGAGGCTAAGGCAAGATTCAAAGTTTGGGCAACTTAGCAAGAACTTGTCTCAAAAAATATAAAAAGGGCTGGGGCTGTAGTTCAGTGAAAAGTCCCTGCGTTCAATCCCCAGGATAGTGGGGAACAAAGTCTGACTCACCACTGAAGAACCCCTTCGTCAGAGGAGAGCTTTCCAGAGTACCCCCTAATGAGAAACTCTGCCTTGGAAAGGTGGTATTTGAGGTATTGAGGTCCTAGTATTTCCCCAGCCACTCTGATCTCACAGTTTGGGTGTCTGAGACAGCAAGAGTAATAATACACTTCACTGAATGCACTGACAAAATGTAACTGCTAGTTCACTTTGCCCTCAGAAAAACCCTGGGAATTAGGTACCAGTATCTGGCTTTACAAACAAGGAAACTAAAGGTGAGTACCTTGATCTGTTGAAGACCACTTCAAAGTGGCTCTGAGCAGGATTTAATATTAACCAATTGGCTTTCCATGTTTAATTGTGAGTTGTCCAAAGCTTAGGCATCTTGTCTGGAGATGGGCAGTGAACTCAGTTAAGTAAACTTCTGTGAGTCCCTGGTCACCCTGAGGCCTGTATTGGCCTGTGAAGCTGTGACATCTCAAAGGACAAGATAAGGCCAGAGCTGAGGACTATGGCTTTAACCCCAAATAAGTTAAAGGAGACTGTAGCAGCAGGCATCTCACTCCTGCTGTGAAGGCCTTCCTGGAGATAACATAGTTCTCCTAAATTAACATAATGTATTACTTGGAAAAGTCCTGCCCAGATTCCTGTGTTTTCTTTTGGTCTTTTTGAGACAGGGTCTCACTGTGCAGTTCAGGCTGGCTGTAAACTCACTTTATAGCCCAGGCTGGTCTTGAACTCGAAACGATCCTCCTGCCTCAGCCTCCTGAGTGCTGGGATTACAGCCTCCTAAGTGCCGGGCACCACCACGCCAGCCTCCTGTGTTTTCTTGAGTATCCCCCTCCTTTGTTTGAAAACCAAATAAATATGGGCTACCCAGAGAAGTCTTGGTCTAAACTCAGAGAATATCAAAACTGTAAGAAAGTTAGTCCCTCCTGGAGCCCTGAAATAATTTCAATTGTCTCATTTATTTAAGCCTTTGCCGTCCACTTGCTTGGGAGATTGTGGGCCTGATCAGCCTGCAGTAACTCGGTTATTTAACACGATATTGATCCAATGGCACACTCCTAGCTCAGCACTCTGGCAGCTCAAACAAGCGTATTGCAAGTTCAAGGTGAGCCTGGATGCCTAGCAAGACTCTCAAAAAAGCAAAACAAAACCTTTACCCAGGCGATAGATCTAGAACCTCCAAGGCCAGCCCACACTCTTATCCCTTCCTCCAGGGTAACTTTGAGGACGCAAACACTCACTGGGAATCACATCTGGCTTGGCCATTGTTACGGGAAACAGAGCCTGGTGTGTGCCAGACGCCGTTTTAAGAAATTCACGAATGTGAATCTACTCCAGCCTTGCAACCAACCACAGCATGGAATTTTTTTCCCCCAATACAGGGAACTTAACCAAGGGATGTTCTACTACAGAACAGAACTACATTCTCTATGTTTTTGTAAAACTTCTTTTCTTTTTAAAACAAGGACACAAGTTGCTCAGGCTGGTCTTAAATTCAACAATACTCCTGCCTCAGCCTCATGAGCAGCTGGGATTACAGGCTCAGTATGGACAGTTATCATCTCATATGATAGGAAAACTGAGGCCATTAAGACCATGTCACTTGCTCCATACACAAAGGTAATCAGTGTAGAATGACTGGTGAGGGCCCAGCAACCCTGGTCTCATCCTGACACTTCCTCGCAGGCTTCACACAGTAATACTGCTCTCCTCCACTCGCTGGCCAAGGGCACATCTATTCTCGCTTTGGAGGCAACGCTGGTAGTGCCAAGGCAGCATGCATGGCTCTTCTCCTGTCCCCCCAGAAAACTTGGACCAACCTGGCTTTGTCAAGATGGTTACAAACCCACACCACTTCACACGCAGCCACCATCCCTTGCAGGGTAGACCCCTTTCTCATTGGGAAGATACTTCCAATCTCAGGACTCTCTCCTTCACCGAGGTATTTCAGACTTTAACCTATTCTCCATTTGCCCAGAGAATATTTGCCAGCAGCACCTATGATTGCGGTGTTTACCCTAAGGATTACAGTCCTCACCTTACCCCCAAAGTTTGCTGCAGAATATCTCAATTTTATTATATTTTGTGACTGTAGTGTATTTAGTCTTTGGAAACAAGACAGCATTTCATTTATAGCATTGTTTTTAATAGTGGTATTTCCATTTACAAATAAAGTAATTCTTGATCACAGAAAATAAATGTTGGCAGCAAAATGCACTTTTTTCTAAAAAGGAAATGGATTAAACAATCAAATCACAACTGGCTAAGGCCCCACACTGGGATTTTCTAAGATGCCACAGCGCAAGATCAGCACTCTCCTTCAGGATCTCCTTCGGGGCTCAGGCGGCAGGACAGGGGAGACCATCTCCCCTCTCACCTTTCCCCTCGCCAGTGCTCCCCACGCTGCTAGCAGGGTGCTACTGCCCCATCTTAACCTCTAAGAGCTTAGGAGGCATGAAGTGCCTTGCTCAGGACAATGTGAAAAATCGGTTCTACAACACAGATACACTCAGGTAACTGGCAACACAATTTAAGCAGTCAGTGTCCAGGAGACAATACATGGACACAGGGGGAGCTGACAATGGGCCACACCTAGAAAAAATGTCTCACCCACACATGAAGGACATTTAAATGGAAGGGTGCGACAGATGAAAATGGCATGGAATTTCACAAGGAAGCTCGGCTGCAAAAAAAAAAAATAAGGATTTAATTCAGATAGCTTGCTTCCCTTAATGTCTTTCCCCATCCCGCAGGTAACATGGAATGAGTATGAAAAGGAGAAACACAATGACCACTCAAAATAATGAATCTTTTAATAAAAATTGTTCATAAAAATTCTAATAAATTTCAAAGAGCAAGATATCCCTTAGTACATTTATAAAAGAACATTTGGTCACTTTACAAAAAGCTCCCTTTTAATTTAAATATTTCTTATTTACAGATTAAACATAAAATATCATCTATAGTAGCAAAGCATATTGCACATTACAGAGAAGCATTTGTGTATCTCAGTAAGTCTTCCCAGAGTTTCCAACTCTTAATTTTTTGAAAAAACAGAATTACTTTTCTTGTGTACAATAAATAAAAATTAGTTTGTGTTCTGCTACTTAAAACTAAAAATACTTTTTAAAAATATTCTTCTGCCTCTCACAAAGAGGGGCTTAGTGAATCAGAGACGTCCACAGGTACTTGACATTTTCACCAGATTCACATCCAAAATTAAGCAGGAGCACAGTGCTGAGCGTGACCCAGGGGCATACAGCCCAGCTTGCCGCATCTTCTCTCACGTGGGGTCCCTGCCCCACACGCAGGAAAGAGGCCCTGGAGTAGGAGCTGAATGGGGGTGGAAAAGAAAAGGATTTTCTCCGGAAGTCCTCGCTCGGCCACCCTGTGGCTAACGTAACCACTCAGCCCTACCCTCTAACCACTGCTACATTTGAACACGTCAGAGAGAAAGAGCTCTGAAGCCCCCCAGAAGGAATGTCTAATGTTACCTAAAGTGAGCTAAGAAACAGCTCATCCACTTTCCTCTTGCCGGGGAGAAAGGGTGGGGAGGGAATCGAAGCCCTCAGACTGCACAACTCAATATCCGAACCTGTTAACTACGGCTTCTCTGCTAACATTCACCTGCAAAGACACTGCCCGACGCATTTCTCTCTAAATAATTATTGAAGTATCACACGCACACTTCCCAGTCCAGGCAAGAAAAGCCCAGGACATCAGCAGAACCTAGAAATTCAGTTATAAGAACAAGGTCTCACGAAAGGACTGAAGGAACCTGGAGGAGGATCTGAAAACACGCCAGCTTTTCACGGCGGCCAGTATAAGCACAGAGCAGACATTCCAGTCACCTGCTGTTCAGAATGGGGTTCCTCCTCCACACCGTCTAAAGCAGCTGAACCAGCCCTGCAATAATTCAAAACTTCTGTCTTGAGAGAACTGGACTCCTCCAAGTTTCATCACAAGGCAGTTTTGTACAGCAGTTTTATAAAACTGCTTTCAAACTACTGACCAACACTATAAAACTAACTACTGGGGGAATACAAGGATGGTCTGGCCTCACAGCTGCTACCAAGGATTGTTTGTTCAGACTGAAGACATTCCCAGGGTAAAGCACTGAGCAGGGGATTCCACTGACAGTCTCCTCTTTGGCTCTCCCCACCCAAAATTTCAGGATAAGAACAGAAGGGACAGCACGAGCCTAAGAATACATCACAGCTGTGTCATTCTGACTTTTCAAAGGAAAACAGTAAGCTATGAACTTGGCTTGAAGAACGTTCTTTTCATGGCTGTACTAGACAGCATTCTGACAGCTAGTCCCACAAATCAGTGACTCTGTAATCAGCCTTGAGCCTGGGTAGCCTACAAGGTCAATAACCAGTATTAATAGATAGTAATTCACTCACCCTCAGTCTCACCAACTGGTAATAAGGCCAGTACCCAGAAGTCAACAGGGTTTTAGACTTCATATAAAACTGTTTCACATCAGCCTATCCCCTAAGAAACCTGCGTCACTCAAGGCACAACGGTGCTGCCAAGCATAGCTCTCCATTCCAAAAGTGTGAACAAGCAGAAATGCTCAAGCACGCTGGAGAGTGACAGGTAAAAAGCCCAGGTGAGAAGAGTGATGTTGGAGTGCTTACACATGGCTGCAGCCAGAGGCACGGGAGACAGGAGGGTGAACGAGTTCAGAGGTGGTGGACTTCACTTCTTTCCCTGATAGGCCCAGTTCTCCCAGGTGGGCCGGTCATTCATAGTCCCACCTCAACTTGCCTGGAGAAAAGTACAGGTGCGTGGCGCACGTGTGTGTACAGGTGTGTGCGCGTGCACACGTGCGTTCAACATTTTTACTGAGTTAATGAAGACATTCAAAATAGCATTCTCAAACAAATTTTCAGTTGTTCAGTAGATGAGACTATTGATAGAATGGCACTTCTAAAATGAAGAAGTAAAAATGGAAGCATTTCATTTTTTTTCCTTTAAATTGATTAGTAAATGTTTCAACAATAGGTGATATGTTTACTACTGAAAATTCCCTTTTTAAAAATTGCAAATAACTGAATGACACATCTATTTTCAAGAGTTATCCTTAAATTTTCAAGAAGGAATACAATTTTTCCCTTTTAACTGAAAATGTGGTGAGTTACACATAGAACTTATTTCTAGTTCTTAAAAAACTAATGAAATCATTTGAAGTGTGCAAACATTGATAAGTGAGAAACACAATACACGAGGCTCAAAGTTTTTAAGAGGCTTCTACCCTTGCCACTGGACTACCTACCAACAAAAAGGAAAGGAAGTGTCTTAGCGCAACTTCCTCCTATAGGCTTGGCTAAAATAATAAACCGAAGGGCAAAGACCAATCAAGCAGTTTCCAGAATCTCTCACACTAACACCCACACCACCCGCCTCCCTGCTGGTCCCATTATATGGCAGTACACAACAAAACAGCCACAAACACAGCAGTGGCTGTGACAGCTAATGGCCTAAATCAAAACCCATAAGGCACTAATCTAAAGCCTGTATTACACAGAGACATGGCTCAAGGATATCAGAAAGTCATCTGATCATTTCTTTCTCCCTGATTAGCTAATTGGCACTAGACACAAGTGACCAAAACAAAACAGTACTCTAACCAACCCGAAGATGGTTAGCATTTAGAATACTTGGTTAGGAAATCTTTGTTAGCGATTTTTTTCTTTTCTTTCCCTAAAAGGCACCTGGTTCTGAAACTGGGAGCTCCTCAGGTAAGTTCACGTTCAAAATAAACAAAATATCATCCAAAAGATCTGTTACATAACCTCTCATAGTATGACATAACAACTTAAGAGTGCCTGTCAGAATTCTGGTTGGACTATTATTCCAAAGCAAATAATATGTAACACTGTGAAGACTGCTTCAGATATAAATGAAAGAATCAATGATTTCCTGCCTCTCACGTGATCTAAAAATCACAGTTGGATATCTGGCAAAGAGCCCAATGATCCAATAAAAGAGAAAACATGACATTTTCATTGCAAAAAGTAAGGACACCAAGTGAACCTCAGGCCCTTTGCACAGAAATTCCATTCCCCAACCTTTAACAAAGAGGTAGCAATAGAGCAGGAGGGCCAAGTGCTGGCAAAGTGAAGAGACTTGGATTCTAAATAGAAAGCTGGGAATAGTCAATCTGAAGATGCCCTATATCTTGTGCTCAATAACACAAGCATGTCAGAAGAAGCCAATTTCCATGTACCTTCTCATTTCAAATTATATCCTTAAGAAAAATAGGGCATTTTATTGAACAGAAAGAAAACAGCAAAATATGCAAGAATTAACTAGATGTGGGTGAGGAGCTAGGCAGAAATTTCTGCATCATCGTGGATGGCCAGACTTCTGCCTCTTTCACTTCAGACGCGATTTTTGCGAGGTCTGGCTTCAGTTATATTTGGTTTATGACAAGTCCCGACAGAGAAGAGCAGATCAAACCAATCCAACCATCTGGTCAATCTGTCGCATGTAGATGCTCTTTAAGGGCAGGGAGTATCTCCTCTCATCAGGAACACGATTGCACTAGAAAGACACAAATTTTGAATTAGAAACCTATGTGTTAATCTCAGAACATGTGGTCGGATGACCTAATCCAGTTTCCCACCCCAGGCACTACTGACATTCTGGGACAGGTAACTCCTTGTTGGGAGGAGCTGTTCTGGCCTCTCCTCCTAGGGGCCAGGGACAACTCCACCCTTCAACTGTGACAAACAAAAATGTCTCCAGACATTGCCCAATATCCCTTGAAGAGCAAAATCACCCCTGGATAAGGACTGATGAAATTTAATCTCCTTACTTTATAGGTAGAAAAAGATCCAACAAGGCTAAAAGATACTTCACAGCAAATACTTGGTAGCCAGGAGTAAAAGCCACAACCTTTGGGTCCTTAAACTTCTCAGATTTCAGAAAACACCTTAGCTATCTGATGATACTATGTTTTTCTATGCTCTTCTCATATATAGAGACAATCTAAGTGCTTGAGTATTAGTTTCTTTTTACTAAGGGGCTTTTTCCTGGGCATGATGGCATACCCTTGCAATCCCAACACTCAGGAAGCTGAGGCAGGAGGATCATTGTGAGCTTAAGGCTGGCCTGGGCTACACAGACAGTTTAAGACCAGCCTAAACTACATGGTGAGACCCTGTCTCAAAACTATCTAACTGGCAGGGTGTGGAGGTGCACGCCTGTAATCCCAGCACTCAAGAGGCTGAGGCAGGAGGACCACTACAAGCTTGAGACCAGCCTGAACTGCACAGCAAGACCCTGTCTCAAAAAGACAAAAAAAAAAAAAACTTTTTTTCCCAACTTTCAGGTGATGTAAGTCTTGAGAATTAACCAATGAAATGATGTCCACAAACAGTCATCCCACTCTTTTACCATGGCTCTGCACTTGAACTCACTCAGCCCTGCTCCTCATTCCCTGAAAGATCAAGACTGGCAGCTCTTTGTAGACTCCATACTCCCTCACTTTCATAAATGCTGCCTCTTCTGCCCGGCATTTCATTCAGGAAGCTCCTCCGCATCCTTCAAGGATTATACCAAGAGACTTCCTTGTCCTCTGATTCCTGGTAAGGACAGCCAAGGAGAAGCTCCAGCAAGAGATCAGAAAGAGGGAACGGGTGGTATCAGGTCTTGACCTGCTGGTTTCCTACCTACACGGTGAATGAAGCCACTCCCAAGTAGTGGCTCCTGCCCGTGGCCATCCCTCGTGAGTGACTCCTCCAGGTGACTGTGGTCACTCCTTCCACCGGCCCCCACAGCCGGGTGATAAGGTGCCACGCTCTCCAGTTTCCCTACATCCTGACTATACCAGGCCCCTTTATAAAACTCTCTTAAATTACCCAGTCTGAGTGTAACACCAATTTTCTGTCAGAAATGCTAAATGCCGAAGGCATGAGTAGTGCTTCCCTTCCTTTACACACACACCACCCCTGGAAAAGGCAACTCACATTGGAGCTGGAATTAATGACTTTCAACTCATGAGATTTTGGCCTGTGCACAAACTTTCCTTGCTGCTCCTGCCCTTCATCTTCAGAGAAGAATTCCTTCCAAGGTGATTCCCGAAGATGTTTGTCCACAGATATAATATGGCCCTCCGTTGTAAACATGTATCTCGTTCCAGATTTGTGTACTGGATTCTCCTCATCAAACAGCTAGAAGAAAAGAAAAAAAGAAAGGAAAATAGGAGTTTCTCAGCTACTCCGGGAACAGAACTGGGTGAGAAGGCACTGATTAATAACCATGGTTTCCGACCTGACTGTAGAACAGGATCGCCCTTTTTATTTAAACTCAAATACCCTACTCCCAAGCTCCATCCAGACATAGAGACTCAAAAATCGGAGCGCTGAGGGGGCTGGGGATTTAGCTCAGCGGCAAAGCGCCTGCCTGGCAAGTGCAAGGTCGTGAGTTCAGTTCCTGGTACCGGAGAAAAACCAAAAAAAAAAAAAAAATCGGAGCGCTGAGATAGAAGTACAGGGAGTCTATAGAAGCTGCCCAGAAAATTTTCATATGCCCCCTCAAAGTCCTCATCCGGGAATTCTAGAATTGCTGTCATTTCATACACACCCCGGCCTTATTGATGCTAAAGGGCAGGAGCACACGTTTTACCCATCGCCATATCCCCAGGGCCCGTCCCCAGGCCAATGTATCTGCAACTTTCAGTTCAGTTCTGAGGTGCAGCTGTGAGGCCACAACAGCACACAGGCACAGCTCCTTCTTTTAACAGTGGACATGGCTGAGAACAAAAGACGGTACAATGGGGGCGGGGGAAAAAGTATTCAGCAAATGTTGAAGGATGAATTCAGTAATTACATCTTGTTCAAAGATGCCTGAAACTACCGACAGCACTTTTTTTCCCTACAGGCACTTTTTATGATAAGGCTTATAAAGTAGACACAAGAGGTTAGTAGTAACTAATAATAAAATAGAACAATGTAAGTTTTGAAAACCTTCTGAATTATTTATTTCTGTAATATTCCATTTAGTATTTTCAGACTGTGCATGACCATGGGTAACTGAAACCATGGAAAGTAAAACCACAGATATGGAGAGACTATTATACTTAGAAATTTCTAAAGACAGAAGAAACTTGTTGGTTCCTTAAACTAGTTCCCAGATAAAAAATGAGACTCAGTGAAGTTAATGGGAAAATGGAGTAGAACCCAGGTTTTCCCCTCCTAGACGGAGCTCTTTCCCCTTGGCACCCTACAGCCTCCTTCCTTTGCTTCAGAAGGAGGAGCTCTGCATGTTCAGGATGTGACAGCAGGCCAGAGTCTTTCCCCTGGCCAGACTACATGGTATGCTGGTGAACACACCATCTTCTATGAACAGTGATGCCAGGAAGAACTGTCGTCTAGCTCTGTACAAACTCACTAGACAGCATTTATGAAAATTAAATTCCTGAGCTTACTTTCAAAGGCGGTGACTCAGTGCAACTGAAATCTTAACAAAGGCTGCAGGATGATTCAGAACCGTAAGCCCTGGACCTGAGAACCACTGACCAAATGACACAACTTAACACTGCTGCTGCTGCTTCTGAATTATTCTCCCAGCAACGCCCTACACTGTGCCCTCAGAAGTCTGCTTTGCACATGGCCATGCCAAATCAAGTGGCAGAATGGGCAGGACAGCAGCTATGTGCACAGGCACTACACAAGCATGTGGCAGACTGGTGACACGGACAGAGACTAGACAGGAGTCAAGACAATGGTTCAAGCCTCCATTCCAGCACATACTCACCCTAAGGCCTTGGATCAGTCTCTCAGTGTAGGGTGGAGTTACCATAAGAGGAACAACAAACATTAACTAGGTGACCCAAAGGTTCCTTCCAGGTCCAGAAATTCTCTCCATACATACACAAGTATGTGTTTAAGAATGTGCAAGTATGTAAGTGTACAGAGAGACGGCCAGGCTGCATATATCTCAAGAGCAGTAAGGCAGGGGTGTAGCTCTGTGATACAGCACTTGCAAAGCATGTGTGAGGTCCTGGGTGCAACGCTCAGCACCACAGGAAAAGAGGGGAGGGATGAGCCCACGTGCACGGGGAGAAGAAAAATTGCTCCCCTCCTCAGAGAAGCCTCCCTGGCCACCATATTAAGGTTGGTCCTCTACTGAGCCATTCTAGTACTTTGCAAAGTTACTAATCACAAGTTCATTTCTGATTATTTTTTTAACTTCTATTTTTATTAGTTTATACTAATTCCTATTTCCTTAACAAGAGACTCTACCATAAGACTGGAAATCATGAAAGCAGTCAGCAATATTCTTTTGTAAAACAGCACTTATATCCATAGGAATGCATAATGTCTAACACACAGCAGTGCCGAGTAAGTAAGTATCTGCCAGGTAGAAGGCCACCAAGTGCTTTCTCTAAGCCCTTGGTTATTCTTGAAACATACATACCAGATATAAGTATTTACACGTCTCACTGAGAAAGAAGCTCTCCATCCTATCTTCTTTGGACTTGTCTATGACATGATGCAACGTGGCGTATCCACATCTACAAAAGATTTATCCAGTTAGTCTGGCTTCTGCACCCTCCCCCTGATAAATGTCAGATAGTAAGTATTCTATTAAGAGGGTATCCAACACCACATAAAAAATAAACTATGTGATGTTCAAAGGCCTGGGTCATTTGTAAATTCATTTTAAAAGTGGTCTGGCTCCTAAATTATCAGCTTAGCTCCAGGGTGGAGAGGAAAACAGTGGAGAGTGTTTACCAAAAGCATGACATGACATCAAGAAAAATAACTGGAATAGCTGGGCATGGTTGCACTTGGGAGGCTGAGGCAGGAGGATTGCTGAAAGTTCAAGGCCAGCCTGGACTACGAAGTGAGCTCAAGGCCAGTCTGAACTACATAGCACCCCTGTTTCAAAAAGACAAAAAAAAAAAAAAAAAAAAATTGGCAAGAAATTTACAGCAACTAATTTCTTTTTGGTCCCAGTACTTGTAGAAATGACTTATTGAATGTCCTAAAATCGCAGTTTCTAAAAAAATTTCATGATACACTGGTGGGTAAAAAACAAAAGCAGGCCACAAAATTGAAGTATAGAGTATATACATGCATAAATGTACATACATATATATAAATATAGTAAAAAGATCATAAATATACACTTAAAGGCTATGTTTACCTCTCTTAGGTAATCACAACGAGAATACTCTACATCTTAATAGTTTTCTGCACTCTAAAGTTTTGCCCTATGCATTATATGCATGACGAAGGAAGCTAAATTTACCTAAAAAGAACATAGTCTGTTGAAACCCTACATAAAAAAAGAGAAGCTAACAAGTGATTCCCACTCTAATGGACAGGTTTTACTACACCAAAATTAACCATTTAATTACAAAAGTAACATTAATGACCTATCTCCTCTACAAATTAAAATGCAAGCTAGAATAATACTTTTCTAGAACAACTAAAACTCACAGGTAGACGACAGTAAAGAGGAACTTAGAAAACTGACCTGACTTTTGTGTATTTCTCGAGACTCTGCAGAATATCCATCCCTACATGAAGGTAGAAGGGATTCTTGGTGGCCTAGGGAGAACACAGGGGAACATGATCCAGCAAGGGCCCGGAAGAGAGGACACCAACAGTCCTGGGGAAGTGCAGGACTCCCCGGGGGGACGGGTCACCAGCCAAAGAAAGAACAGGGTACTACTCACTTCATCTTGAAGGGTCATGAAGGACAAGGTGCCCTGTCAGCACACATCAAAGCATTACTGCAATTTATTTAACTTAAACCACAGCTGGGAAATCTGCTCCCAGGTAAAACAATGTACTTTGACTCTGATCCCCACCACAATCAGAAAAAAACAGTGCCAGCTAGACAGTGCCATTATCAGAGAGAATAAATCCAGTTTCTACTGTTTCTGTTTTGTGGTACTAGGAATTAAACCCAGGGTCTTCTCTCAAAGCTCTATCCCCAGTCCTTTTTAAGTTTTTATTCATTTGTGTGTGTGGTCCTGGGAATCAAACCCAGGGGTACTGTACCACTGACTTACACTCCCCGGCCCACTATCCTGTCCGGACAAGACTCCAGCTTGCAATCCCCCTGCCTCAGTCTCCCTCCATGCAATGGTTACAGGCATATGCCACCACACTCAGCTGACAAAACCAGTTTGTCTCTCGCCCTGGAACTCTCTAGAAACTAATGACACAGGTACAGGGAAATAGGACCTTGCCCCCTCATTCCAATTACAGCACTGGGAGAAAAGCCAAAAGGAGTAAGACTCGAAGCAATCTGCAGGAAGCCTCCACACTTTCGTCTAGTAAATCCTTGGGTTGCTGCCTCTCCTGTCATATACTCTTCATAGTTTCGTTTGGGGAAAAAAGTTATCCGGGAAGATAAGATTTCCATCCTATAAACACTTAAGAAGAGAGCAATCACCTTTAACTCACGCTTAGTGCCAACCTAAAGCAGAAAAAGCAAATAACCACCAGGAGGGCTGTCTCTGGATTGTAAGAGCCAGGGGGTAGCTGTAAAGCAGAAGAATCCTCTGGATTCTAAGAAAGTAGCGTGCAAAAAGAAGCTGAAAACATGGAAGAGACAGAGACAGAGACAAAGAGCTGTGAGCCCAAGTGCAGCAGGATTAAGCTTCAGAAGAAAACTGACACAGCAGCAGGTATGCCACTCTCAGACTGTGCACAGCCTTCCCAGACCCTGGGCTCAGAGAGTTGGCCTGCAAGATCACCTTGGTCAGACATGGTGGAACATCCTGTAATCCCTACACTCAGGAGGCTGAGGTAGAGGGTCTCTTGTGAGTTTGAGGCCAGCCTGTCTCAAACAATAAAAAACGAAACAAAAGTGTCATCTCTTCCTGTCTTAGAGGTTACCTAAAACTCGTGAGGTCTCTCTTCAGGCAGAAGGACCATTACCAGTTGTCTTAGTTACTTTTCTCCTTGCTGAGACAAAGTACCTGACACCCAAAATTAACAGGAAAAAGGTTTATTTAGCTCACAGTTTGTAGCAATTTTAGTCTATAATCAGCTGGCTCCAAGGCAAGGTGGCTTGGCAGAGGGGCATCACAAAGGAGAACCAGTTCATGGCAAGCAGAAGACAGCAAGAGCAAGCAAGCACCAGGCAAGGTAAGCCTCTTCCTGTCCCTTATATTGTATCCAGGCTACCGCGATTACTAGGTGCCAAACAAATCAGCAGACTGATTTAGTAATCACCTACGCTTAGTCCTAACATTGCACCATGAATCAATTACACACTCTAGATTCAGCCACCTCTGAAAAAAGCCCCACCTATGACTGCATGAGGTTTTGGGGGGACATCTAGATGCAAGCCCTAATATCAATTTCATAAAATTCTCCCTGTTTCATCTAAAAGCAAACAGCAAGCATTTTGTACAAAAAAATTCACCATTGAACCTAAATAAATCTAAGCACAATACCAATCCTACTACAAGGCCTTCTAAAAATCAGGTTTCAGGTGCCAAATCTTGCCGAATGCAGGCATCTGCCACAGGCCTATGGAAATGCATTACAGGCTAGCTCCTTATTAAATGCACAGCTTATGTTGCTGTATTTGTGAATGGGTAAGCACTCTCTGTGTTTATTTATGGTATGCACAGAAATATAGGCATCTGGCTTCAGTTATCTGTGAGAAAACATTTCACAGTTAAAGTGACATTCCCTCTGCAGGCACAAGAGTACTGAATGAAAGATAAACATTATATGATTTTTTAACATTAAACAAAGTAAGATATTCATGTGAATCCTAGTAACTTCCTCTATAAATAAGAAACTGAATTTTCTTTTTGTCTGAGTAATTATTACCTAGATCAGGGTTCTCTAGCACATTAGCACACAGAATTGCATTTCCCTAAAAAAGGGTTCTCTGGTCAAATAGATTTGGATACACTGAAAGTAAAACCTTTCTCTCAAATATTTAAAGATGTAAAGAGTAAGTCCTACAGCAAAGACATAAGTCTTCACAAAATGTGAGGTTAAAAACGTTTGGCTACAGAGACTGTCTGTCCTATGAAACCATGAAGGACACTGAACACTAACACAACTACAGATACATGGTAACTATTAAACTGCTGTAAAAACAGCAACTATTGTCTAAAGAGCTCTGGTACCTGGTAGAGGAGATATGTAGATTCCACTAATTCTGGTCTCAGTGGGTAGAAGAGAACGTCAGGGGCCTGTAGCTGCCAGTTATACCTCTCAGGAAGGGCCCCATAGCGTTTCCATATGGCGTAGTAGAAGGCATGGAGGCAGATAGCATCTTCCACATCTCCTATCAGAACCTATGGAAACAACGCGGGTCACCAGGCTGAAATACTTTTCCCAGAATGGCAACAAGTGACACAAATGTCAAGCTTTCCTTTACCCTCTGGTTCTATGCAACATAGCTGGAGACCAAACCAAGTCAAAAGTGATAACCCACACAAACAGATGCCTTTTATATCTGGCCATCAATGACATACTGACGTGAACTGCATAGAAAAGGGTAAATGTATCAGACAAGCACATAACAAAGATGGATTATCCAACAATCACCTGCAGTTAGTTTTTAAATATGATTTTTCAGTAATATAGTATGGGTGTTCAATAATCTAGGAACTGATTTTACAATCAGAATAGTCTCAGTATGTTGTGCTACTAACCTCCCAAATCCAAAGGAGCTAGAAAATGCTCATGTATCACAGAAAAAGGAGAAAAGTTCCCATTCTAATGAGTATTTATTCTTCGCAAATCTGACTAAAATACCTGCAGTCCGGGGAAGAATGCCTGCAGAGAGTCGATCCAAGTATTCATGAGCTGCCCACTGAACATGTTCACGTTGACATAGAGTGGGGGGTCTCCTTCTCCTTCATTACAGGCTTCCCGCCTACAAACACAAACAGCACACGCCAAGGTGAAAAGAAAGCTCACTGACAGAGCTCTACCCCATGCCAGGAGCCCCTGGCTGTTTCATTTAAATGGAATCAACATGAACGTTTATACAGTCTCCTAAACCTTTGGAGAAAAAGACTCCCGCTACCTGTCTGAAATAGACAGTAACAGAAGATAACGTCTACACAGAAAGGTTCTAAACTGAAGCCTTTGTAATACTTCAGCACTTTGGGAGAAGCCAGCTTCCACGACCTACTTATGAAGAGGCTCCTGCAGCAAGGATCTGAGACCTCCAACCAACAGCCAGTAAGAACTGAGACTGCCAGCCGTGACATGATGGGCCTAGGCAGGGGTCCTCCAGCCCCCCACTAGCTTTGATACGGCTGCACCCTCGGTCAACACTTGACAGCAACCTCACGCGGCATCCAAGGCCAGAACCTAAACCTCCATCTCCTGTATTTATGAGTTGTAGAAACTATCATGAAGTCACCTTTTTATTTAAGCCACTGTGTTTTGGAAAACCATGTTACATGATAAATAGCAAATACAGATCTTCATCCTCAGAGCGCTGACAGTGATGTTGAGGGCAGAAGAGACAAACAGACCTTGGGAATTTATATTAGAAAAAATAGGAACATTAGCCAGGCATGGAAGCACACGCCTACAATCTCAGCACTCAGGGGGCTGAGGTAAGTGGATCACTCTGAGCTCAAGGCCAGCCTGCATTTCATACCAAGACCCTGGCTCAAAAAACAAAACAAAAAATAGAACATTTCAGAATACAAACTACTTGCTTTATAAGGCCATAGAAGTGATGTAAAAGAGACATACCCTCTTCTTAAGTAGTTCTGAATGCTCTGATATGCAGCATTGAACATTTCTAGGTCTTCTTTTTCTCCAAAGAGAATGTAAGATTTTAAAAGGTATTCATAGAAGGAGTCCAGCCCAGCACCCAAGCCACTCTGTTTTCCAACCCAATGGCCCGTCTGGATATTCACAACATTGCCTGGAGGAACAAATAAAGGTCCTTCAGATCCCCAGCATCGTGGTAGGAAAGGGACAGACATCCTATTTCAACCCCAGTTCTCATCATCTTCATCTTTAATTCGGAAAAAAAGGAGTGAAAGATTGGCAGTAAGATTTTTCAGTCCTATCAATAACTTGGACAGCCTAGAGACCTTTTTGAATACATAGTGTTTAGCCATCAACACAAAATGGAGACAAATATTGAAAGCAAAAAAAAAAAAAATATATATATATATATATATATATATATATATATATATATATTTGTCATTTTTCTTCGCCACACTAACAATGTACTTCAAAACCCAAAGGCGTATTCACATTCTTTAACCCAGTGCTGTTATTGCTGGTAATCTGAAAAAAAATGTTTCTGGAAAGAAAAACCCTTATGTTGTTCACCAGAAAATTATCTGTAAAACAGAAAAGAAAAGAAAAAAAAAAAAACAAAAACAAAAAAAAAAAGGAGAAATAATCTAAGTGTCTAACACCAGAAAAAGAGTTAACAGATGACCATGCAGCTTCTAAAAAGAGTTACTATGAAAATAACAACTTGGGGACTGAGGATATAGCTCAGCAGCACAGTGCCTGCCTGGCAAGCACAAGGTCATGAGTTCAATTCCTGGTATTAAAAAAAAAAAAAGAAAACTTGGAAACCCTGGAATGATCTGTAAAGTATGGCACAATAAAAATCTTTGCTTATATTAATAAACGAAAATATATAAACGTTCCACATACCAGGCTAAAACGGTGTATGGAGCTGGGATGGTAACACATACCTGAAATCCCAGCTATTGCTGGGGTAGGTAGGAAGGAGCTAAAGGAGAAGGGCCACAAGATCAAGCCCAGCCTGGACAACTCAGCAAGACCGTGTCTTACCATAAAATTTTAAGAGCTGGGGAAAAAGCTCAGCAGTACAGCTACACTGGCCTGGCATGCACGAGGCCCTAGCTTCAATCTTCAATACGGCATATACACAAAAATGCCTACAGAAAGCTAAAAACTGACAATTTATGGTGATACTGGTCAATTACTTGGTGATGAATTAGTAATCTGACTGATCTTATTTCTACTGCTGCTGTTAAATCAAAAAATATGTATATAAATTTTAGAACTAAAAAATAAAAAATCACTTTTGAAGCGTAAAACTTTTATAACTCCCTATGGTTCTAGAAAAACCAATCAAATCAAATTACTTCTGACAGCCAAAAAGAAAATTTGTCCCAATATAAGACACTATATGAGGTAAAAAGCCATTTTAAGACATTGTGAGTTAGCAAAACACAAGGTAATTACTGAAGATGAACGAGATGAGTACATAGGGATTATTATTCTTCACACCTTTCTACACTTAATGTTTGAAATAGTCCAAAATAATCTTTTAATATCTTGGTCAAACATTCTCAAATGGAAAAAAAGAAAACCAATATACGTTTAATGTGGAACTTTCAATCTACTACTATGCACCTAGCTTTCTTTAAAAAGAGAAACCACTGCACTGATAACTTTAAATTCCTATGTTTAGAACTTTATATTGAAGCAATAAAACCTGCCTCAGAGGCAGTTCTTTTTATAGCATTTTCATTAACAATAATTTTCAATTAGAATACACCAAGGGCTCCAAGTCGGAAGGGAGCTCTCAAGCACCGAAGATATTCTTTTCTATCAAACCCTACAGCCTCACTCTAAGCAAAAGGTCACAGAAAGAAACTGACTATGCAGCCACTGAGGACCATTCTTTCTGAGTTGAAATTGTTCAGCGAAACAAGGAAGACACCCTCAGAGGTGAAGGAAAGGGACCAAATGTCCTATAGCCCCAATGGCAGGAGGAAGTACACCACACCTAATAATCCTGTGTCATTGCTCCGAAGGTTCCAGAGGGCTTTCACTGCTCGTCTGGCCACCCATTCAAAGGTGGGGTCCCCCAGCAGTCGGCTCAGAATCCCAAATTCCACCAAGAGAGAACCAGCTCCTGCGGTGCAGGTCTCATTATTGCTGTCAGGAGGAACGCCTGTCTTTAGATTCACCTGGGGACAGGAAGAGTCAGTCACAGGTTTTGTGGCAAAACTCAAGAACTCACACACCTGAAGGCCAAGTCACAGATATTACACTCAGCTAATGCACCACGCTTACTGTGGTAAGAGTTAGTCATGTTAGACCCAAGATGAATGTGCGAGTTAAATTTAAAAAGCACAGATGAGAGTAAGAACACCAGAGCCTCGTCTTATTAAGAACAAGTAAAGAGCAAGTGTTCAAGGAATGACAATAATACAAGTACATAATTAACTCAACCATCTCTCTGCTGTTTCTGATCTTGTTTTGTTTTTTTGGCAACATTGAGGATTGAACTCAAGGCCTTTACACATGCTAAGCAAGTGCGCCATCACTGTGGTACACATACTCCCAGTCATTTGAGACACGGTCTTACTAAGTTGCCCAAGCTGGTCTCAAACTTGTGATGTTCCTGCTTTAGCCTCCCAAACAGCTGAGATGACAGCCATATACCATCATGCCAGGTTCATTAACCCTTCTTTTTCCAACAGGACTTTTTTCACGGTGACACATGATCAGGTTTTGGGGTTAAAGAAAAAAGCAAGCTATGGAATCAGTTCTAAATTCTAAGTAAGTCACTATGAACTCACGGCTCCTCAGCAAACATAAACAACCTCAGACTGGGACAGAAGGGCAGTTCAGCTAGAATATGACAGCCAGGTACATCACGGCAACACTGTGGTCTGGTAACTCACTGCCTGGTTACCACAAAGGCTGGCTCAGTTCCCACAGGAGTTCTGGTTTGACACATCAGGTATCACAAAAATCTTGTGTTTAAATTACCACCTAGCTTGCTGATCTTGCAGGCTTTGCTTGATTTTTTTTTTCCCAGACAGAGTCCCGCTATGCAGCTCAGGCTGACCTTCAACTCAATATGTAGCCTAGGTTAGCCTTGAACTCACAGCGATTCTCCTGCCTCAGCTTTCTGAGTGCTGGGATTACAGACGTGTGCCACCACGCCAGGCTGGGCAGGCTTTATCTGAAACAGATGTGAAGCATGCAAAAGAACATTCACTAAGCCTCTCTCTAATACACATCTGAGGTTCTTTGGGGAAATCTACCCAAATAAGAAATGAAGACAAATTCTCCACACTATTTGGGAGCACAAAATATAAATCACACATGAATAATGAACACAAGAACAGTAAGTTTTAAGAGGAATAAATTTTCTGAGGGAACTGTTTCGGGAATATTTTAGCTATATCACTGCATAGAAGGCACTCAGTAAATGCTGAACGAGAAAATATTTACATTATGTTTAAGGTCAAAATCCCTCAAGAATACCACTTTCTTCCTCTACCTAAGGCCCATTCCTTCTACCAAACAGTTTTAACTCCAGAAGATGGTGAATTATTAAGCACAAAGGGAAAAGCCAGTCTACCTACCCGAGGATAGGGGATCCCTGTTTTCGTGTTCTCAAAAGCAGGGAGGAGCCGCACAGCCAGGTCATGAGCCATGTGCAGCAATTCATTATCATAGTCCTTGATTGTCATGTCACCAAAGGGCTGCTTAGAGTCAGTTATTATTCTGTGGGCAGAAAGGAGGCTTCCCAGAACCCTAATGGCAATAAGAACAAAAAATAAGTAACATCAAATTATGTTGCTTATAAGGGCACACAATCTAATTCAGAATGACAGATGCAGCATCTACTTCTTATGGCCTCCGAGCTGCCTGAAGTAAAGACCTGACTGAATGGCCTCTTAAAAGCTCTTTCTAGCTCTAATGAGTGACTAATTTTTAGTTCACTGTGTTACTCCAAGAGAGAAGGGGAATGACTTATCTCAGGCTACTAAGAAAAATACCATTTAAAAGATTAACAAAGGTAGTTATCTTTATCTTAGGGGTTAAGAAAAAGGACTATACTAATTGAGTCGGTGCTACTGGTTCTCAAAATATATATTACCTACTGTATTATTAAATTTTGCTTGCTTTAGCTCACTTGGGGAAAACATTTGGCTGTATGTAAAAAAAGAAAAAGGTAGTTCTGCCTGCCATGTAACTGACGAACTTCAACACCTGCTAAGAGGATGAGGAAGAAAATGGAAAATGAAGAGAACATGACACACTCAGGTAAAATGCTAACGGCTGAGATCTATGTCACTGTAGACCCACTGATCCATCTTTCTAATCATCTGGAGGAGACTCTGACATTTTTCAGAACAAATGATTTCATAACTTTAAATTTTAAATAAAATTAAACTGGAACGTCGTGTAGAAATACAATTTTTACAAAACATTAAATAGGAACATAGTCAATATATAAAAGTAAAGAAAGCTGGATATAAAGTATGATTCCAATACATTTAACAAAAGGAGGGAGATTAGTGATCAACACCAAACAAAAAAACACACCAAAATGGCACACAGTGGTTTTCTGAGGCCAGAGAGAAAAGAAAATCATTTCCTGCAGAAATATGTGTAAATTTTCCTAGGACACAATGAAGGTGGGAAATGAGACCAGCTAAAAGGGAAATCAACAAACTGCTTAGAGGGACACTGATTAAAACATAAGTGTTTCTTTTTTTCAGTCCAAAATGTGATTATTATATATTCAACTGTTATAGTTTTAATAAATACTAAAATAAACATGAAAAATATAAGATGCACTCATAATATCTGTATGGACTATTTATCTGGATTTTGGGTCCAGAAAATACAAAGGAATTTCTCTCTACACACACACACACACACACACACACACACACACACACACAGAGTTTTCAACCCATTTTATGTATTATTTTACCTTATTGTAGCCTCAAAGACTTGAACAGTAGAATCTTTGTCAAATGAAACCGTGTTGATCACTAACTTGACTGCTTTCTGGAACTCAGATGAATTTCCCATTATCTTTAAAAAGAAGAATAGAAACCATTATAGCAGCTTGGGATGAAACAGGCCGCATGATTGCAGCAGGTTGGCCACATCAACTAAATGTCTGTATTCTATGTTGTTTTGCTACCGTTCCCACAAAATAATCTTCTCAGACACTCAACCATGTTTTCTTTTCTCATTTTACTGGTCTATCACATCTTTGTTTTTGCTAATCGTTATTTGCTGTAACATACAGAGACAAGTATAGCTGTTTCTTTTCTGATTTTCAGTTCTTCCTTTTTAAAAGATTATGCAACAATGCTGCAAGTTACATGAAATAGTCAGGGGATTGCTTTCCCCAAGGGTTTTCACAGCACACCTGGTGATGCCTATTGAAAATGCTAGCATGAGAAAAGGAAAACCTCAGCATAACACCTGAAAAGTAAGTGTGAAGTGCTAAGGCAGTAAAGGCCAGATATTCCACAGTGAAAACCACAAAAACGGGTCTGTTTCCTTACAGATGTGCACCAGCAACCATATCTAGTGCTACTGCAGTGCTGAAAGCATCTCAAATCAAGTGGAGGATGGTGAAGACAGCCAACAATGCTTAATTATATAATTTAGCACTTTAGTCAGATAGCTAAATGACCCAAGAAACCAGGGTATGAACGACTGAGAACTAGATTAGACAGAAGCATTACATAGGATTCTTTACTTCATGACTTCTCAGAGCCTTTAAAATGCCATTGTTTAACATGGCTCTCCAACAGTTGGACATAGAATTTGTCCAGTTCCTTTTGGAATAGAACTGTTCTTTCCAGCCAGGTGTGGTGGTACATGCCTGTAATCCCAGCACTCAGGAGGCTGAGGCAGGAGGACTGCTGCAATTTTCAAACCAGCCTAGGCTACAAAGTAAGCTCAAGGCCAGCTTGAACTGCATAGTGAGACCCTGTCTCAAAGACACACACACACACACACACACACACACACACACAAAGAACACTTCTTTCCTTGTAATTTGTGTTGGGAGACAATGAACTAGTAGAAATTTATTTTTTGAACAAAAGCTTGCAATCCTACTGTGTACCATTTATCATCAAGTGTGGGGAGAATATAGCACAGCAAATAATAAAGATAAAGTCTCTCTAATGCCAAGCATGGAGATAAAAAGATACAAATGGTGATCAAAAGAGTCAAAGAGAAAAAAAACAAGCTTTCTCAATTTACATATGACTCTTGGGATGCTTCCAGCAACACTTGTAGGCTGAGTCAGCCTCTAATATTTTTAAGAAATTAGCTCCAGTTAGGCTGCACTTACTTGCTGGGGCACATTTGGATGAGTAACTGGAGATGACTAAAATGCAGGAGCAATCACTTCAGAAGGAAGCACCAAGGAACTAAACTGCTTTCCAACTGCAGCCTAGCAGAAAGTCCAACGGACTAGATTTCTATTAGACAAAGGGCCTTGTCCTTCTGCTACTTACCAAACGAAGATGTAAGCCAGGCACGGTGACACATGCCTATAATCCCAGCACTCCGGGAGAAAAAGCAAGGAACAGCAGTATTTACACAGGGCCTCCACACGCAGGCTGGCACGGGCAGCCAGAGAGCAGCTAGGTGGTACTTCAGGGTGTCTAGCAACCCCGAGACTTTGCTTTCTAATCCTGATATACTAACTGCAGTAACTGTAAATACTGAGGCAATTCTCTATGGATTCCTTTAGCAAGTAAGGCAGTGGAAAAAAATTGGTTCCCCAAAACAAGCACACATTTTCTTCAGTACTGTTTAAAGAGAATCATATTTCCTCTTTGATAACCTTCAACCTTTTTCCCATTGTTGCCACTAAGTTCACTAAAATAAGTAAAAGCCATCAAAGCTTTTAAGCATCAAGCTGGCCATATGCAGTAGTCCACACATATAATCCCAGCACTGGGGAGGCGGAGGCAGGAGGATCAGAAGTTTAAGGCCAGCCTGGGCTACACAGCAAGTTCAAGACTCTCCTGGACTACATACATAGCCAAACCCTGTCTCAAAAAAATAAGGTTAAAAAAGTATCAGGCTCTCTGAAATTACCATTCCTAGGAGGACACAGGAATATCAACTCGAAAGACATCTTAATTTTTTAAAAAGAGCAACACTTACTGCCAGTGTATCCAATGCATCAACAAGAGTCAATGAATAGTTCCCTAGTACGTCATTGATGTTCAGATTTGAACTGAAAAAGAAATAAAATTAAAATTATAGACAGGTACTTTATTTTAAAGAGAAAAAAAAGCAAACACCCATTAAAAACTACAATCGGCGACAATCCTTAGTTATTGAGAAGCTGTGAGTAGGTTGGTACAGCAAAGGTCTTCTACTTCAGTATCTATAGTGTCTACAAGTACAGTGGCATCACAGCACCGCAGACACGAACGGAAATTACAAGACAGCAAAGAAGGCAATGGAAGTTAGGAGACTCCAAGCAAGGGTCCTTTGCCCTGAGGTGATTTTCTCACTCTAAATGATTTCTTTAATCCTACCCAGCTTCAGGATTCTAACTTCATAACCTCTAGGAACTGGAGGAGAAAGCTGGTCCTAGGACCTAACGTAGAAATTACATATTCTAGCAGATCACACGCAAACAAGTGAAGACCTGCAGCGCTAGTACCAAGTCATCTGTCCTTTGATTAGGGGAATAAATAAGATTCTTTATACCACTTTTTCACTAACATCTCATCCAGAGACTCCTCATTACTTTGATTAGTCCTGAGGGATGTCTTATAACACAAACCAAAGCAGCAATCAAGGCTCTGTTCTCTTCTTCACTGGAGCTGCTTCAACATCACTGCCACACACATCCACCCTCCTAATCAGCACCAATGTTCCATCCTGAGACAATCTCAAGAAACCACCTACAAACAGGGAGCTAGGTGCTGTGAAGTCAGAAGGGGAGTCTGACAAAGCGAGGAGATAGGAAGGAACAGAAGTAAAAAGGATCAAAATGTGATTCGCATATGTACCATTTCCCCACGATGAACATATTTATTATGTATCACAAACATACAATGAGAAAGAAAGAGAAAGAAAGAGAGAGAGAGCAAGAAAAAGAAAGAAAGAATGAATGAATGAATAAACTACAGGGGCTGAGTACGTAGCTCACTGGTAGAGGGCCAGATAACATGCATGAGGACCTGGGTTCCATCCCCACATCAACAGGGGATGCAGAAGGTAAAGCTCTCTGGTCACTCTCACATCTCTTCATAATACAAACTACAAAGACAACAAAACTTAATATATCTAGGCAGGCAGGATAGGAAAGTAGTAGAAATAACAAACCATAGCTACTTTAGAAATTCAAACCAAGAACTTCACTTTTTCCTTTGTTCCATTTCCACAAGCCCAAATAATTACTGCACAAACTTGGGGGAAAAGGCAGTAAAGGAAGAAATAAGACAAATGTTTAAGGGGCTGGGGATTTAGCTCAGCGGCAAAAGCGCCTGCCTGGCAAGTGCAAGGTCGTGAGTTCGGTTCCCGGTACCGGAGAAAAACCAAAA